AAAAAAAAAAGAAAAAGAAAAAGAAAAAGAAAAAGAAAAAGAGAAAAAGAGGAAAGGAAAAGGAAAATAAAGAAAAGAAAAATAAAGAAAAGAAAAAGAAGGAGGAAACAAGATCTGTTTAAAAAGCACAAGGAGCTTTTAAAACCCCAAAACTCTCTCCCAAAGTTGGGCTTTCAGAAGGACACACTGTTTGTCCTTCTCCTTCTTGGAGCAGCACCATTTTCCATGGATGTTGGTGTGGAAGCAGGGAGGAGCTTGGCCAAGGACTGTCCCTGGAGTGCCACAGTCAGGGCAACATCTCCAGGACAGACTCATGGATCAGGGATTGACAGGAGAAGAAAACAGACAAAAACCAAAGGAAAAGCAGCAGATTGGCTGCTCTACAGGAATCATCCCAGTGGATTGTTTATTCCGAATTTAAACATGGCAAAATCTGCCTCACTCCGGCTTTGAGATCATCTTTGCAGCCTCCTGTGTCCAACCACTCCAGAAGAACCTGGAGACCCATCCAAGGCCACTTCCCCTGGAAACGCAACCCAAATCCTTTCAGCTTTTGCCAGACCAGAATAGTCCTTAATGTCCCAGAGTCAGGACACTGATCCAGCACCTGAGCTGGGAATGTGGGATTGCTGCTCCGGAAGGAGCATCTCCACCAAACATCCGATGAGAGGGGGGATGGAGCTGCTCCCCCAGCCCATTCCTGGTGCTCCTGGCACGTCACGGATTCGGGATCATTTAATGCTCTGAAGGGATTTTAATCTGCTAAACTCCTTCATTTCCCCCCTGAAGAACGTGGATGTGCCACACATTGACCCTGTGCTCCTTCACCACAAAATTAAGGATTTTTATGACCTCAGCACAAAAGTAAGAGGAATAAACTCCAGTTTTAGCCCTCTCTGTGGGACAAGGAATTAAGTCAGGAATAACCACAGTCAGACCTTTAATTCCCTGCCAGGAATGACGTCCCTGATTTATTATTTCTGTTGGTTTTCTTTCATTTTGTGTATTTTTAGCTCCCCACTCGTTGACACAAAGCCGTGAAGCACCACCAGGGTGTGGTTTTGGGGTGAGGAAGTGACTGGTCCGAGATGATCCCGCAAATCCTGACATGAAATCCCACTCTCAGCCCTACTTAGTCCATCAGTGAGGAGCTCAAGAGGTTGGGTGAAAGCAAATTATCCTCCTGTTAAAAGCAAATCATCCTTCAGGCCACTGGAGTTGATCTCCTTGGCCAAGGGAGGAGAAACTCTGATCACTCCCATTCCAGCAGCGTTTTTACATCTGATTAAGTTGTCATTTTTAGTGTCATTTTTGAGTGTTTTCTCCTCAAATAACTGCTCTGGAAAATGAGAGTGACCTAAATAACAATAAGGTGGCATCAAAGTGGAGTGGGGATGTCACTGCATTCTTTCACTTCTCAGTCCTGGGCCATCTCAGGA